GCAGCCACTACACTTCAGTCTGGGCGACGGAGTGAGACTCCAACTCAAAACAAACAAACAAACAAACAAAAAAACCCCAGAATTATCTTTTGGAGGGCGGGCTCCCTGTAGTACACTTGGAATTTGTTCCTCCGGATCAAATGGTCAACCAAAGTTTTTATCTGGAAGTTTTGAGAAAGTTGCGTTAGGATTTGTGGAAGAAATGTCCCGAGTTGTAGCAAACAGATGATTGGTCCTTCCACCATGACAATGCACCTGCTCACACCATGCTGAGTGTTCAGCGGTTTTTGACCAAAACGACATGACCCTAGTGTCCCACCCTCCTTACTCACCCTATCTTGCCCTGTGAGACTTTTTTTTTGTTTCCCTGAATGAAAAAAGTTCTCAAAGGGAAATGTTTTGGCAATGTAGAAGAGCTGAAACCAAAAATGGCAGAAGCATTAAAAGGCATCAAAATTGACAAGCTCAAAAACTGTTTTGAGCAGTGGAAAAAACATCTCGATAGTTGTATTGCATCAAGCTGAGAGTACTTTGAAGGTGACTGAAGTTTAAACATGTAAGAATAAACACATTTAGCCGGACTCGGTGGCTCAGCCTGTAATCCTGCGCCTTGGGAGGCTGAGGTGAGTGGATTGCCAGAGCCCGTGGGTTCGAGACCCGTCTGGGCAACTTGGTGAGACCTCATCTCTACAATAAATCAAAAAACTAGCTGGGCATGGTAGCGTGTGCCTGTAGTTCCAGCTACTTGGAAGGTTGAGGCAGAAGGATCGCCGGAGCCCAGCAGGTGAAGGCTGTGGTGGCTGGGAGCGGCCACTTCACTCCAGTCTGGACAACAGAGTGAGAATCCGACTCAAAAAAAAAAAAAAAAGAATAAACACATTTTAGCCGGGCTCGGTGGCTCAGCCTGTAATCCCACACTTTGGGAGGCTGAGGTGAATGGATTACCTGAGCCCGCGGGTTCGAGATCCGCCTGGGCAAGTTGGCGAGACCTCATCTCTACAGTAAATTTAGAAATTAGCTGGGCGTGGTAGTGCGCGCCTGTAGTTCCAGCTGCTTGGAAGGCTGAGGTGGAAGGATTGCCAGAGCCCAGCAGGTCGAGGCTGCGGTGGCCAGGAACGTGCCACTGCCCTCCAGTCTGGGTGACAGAGTGAGACTCCAACTCAAAAAAAAAAAAAAAAGAATAAACACATTTTAAAATAAATATATTCTGGCTTTTTTTGGGTCCTGCCTTGTATGTTAAAGTCCTAACCCCCCAGTACACCCTGAATGTGACTATATTTGGAGACAGGGTCTTTGAAAAGGTAATTAAGTTAAAATGAGGTCAGCTGAGTGGGCCCTACTTCCTGTGACTGGGGTCCTGACAAGAGGAGGTTTGAATACAGATAGTTACAGAGGGAACGCCTGCAAGCCAAGGAGAGAGGCCTTTGAGGAATCCAGCCCCGCCGACACCTTGATCTTGGATTCTAGCCTCCACAACGGCGAGAACATAGAATCCTGATGTTTAAGCCACTGCACCTGTGGTACTTTGTTAGGGCAGCCCGAGCAGACTCATACATCTCCCTGGATGGTGTGTTCTTAGGCCCACGCTCTGCAAATCAGACCAGCCAAAGCAATGCCATAGTGTCCTCACCAGACCACACGTCTGGTGACGAAGCCCACATCAGAATGAGGAAAATTAACTTCACAAGTTCTCAGCCAAGAACCCGCCTGCACAGAAGCCACCTCTGTTTTCCATAAGCTGCTCGTCATTTTTGTGAGCACTGATCCTGTATAACATGTCTCCCTTGTTACGTGTGCAGGTCTGCATGTTGTGGAAGAGAGGGCACAGCCATAAGAGCAAGAGCTCTATGCTGATTCACACCTGGGTTCGAATTCCAGCTCCATTATTTACTGGCTGTGTGAACTGAGCTCAGGGGCCTCATCTGTACAACTGTAAAATGGATGATCAGGACCAGTTCCTGTGTCACACATACTGTGGGCATTAGATGAGCTGACCTGTATGAAACACTCTCAGCATCCCACAAAAGTGAGCCATGATTAATCCATAGTGTGTCTGTGTCCTGTAGCTTGGGAGTGGAGTCACCTTGTCTGTTACCCTGAGTGTCTGTTATGATGCACCTGGGTCACCACAAATGTCTCTGTTACCCCATCGTTTGTCAAGGAGAATCTGTGCCACTCATTCTGTGCATGTCACAATATAGCTGTGACATGATATGAGTGTCACTGTGTTCATACCATGGAATGAGGTATGTTGTGGCTTAAACTGTGTTCCCCACAAAATTCTTTTTTTTGTTTGTTTTTTTTGAGTTGTATTCTCACTCTCACCCACACTGGAGTGCAGTGGCACGCTCCCGGCCACCACAGCCTCGACTTGCTGGGCTCCAGTGATCCTTCCGCCTCAGCCTTCCAAGTAGCTGGAACTACAGGTGCGCCTACCACGCCCAGTTAATTTTTGATTTATTGTAGAGATGAGGTCTCGCAAGTTCCCCGGGCGGGTCTTGAACACACAGGGTCAGGCAATTCACTCACCTTGGCCTCCCAAAGCACGGGATGACAGGCTGAGCCACCGAACCCGGCCTTTTTCTTTTTTTTTTTTTGAGTTGAGGTCTCACTCTCTCACCCAGGCTGGAGTGCATGATCACAGCTCACCACAGCCTCAACCTCCTGGGCTCAAACGACCTTTCTACCTCAGCCTCCCAAGTAACTGGAACTAGAGTTGTGTGCCACCACGCCCTGCTAATTTTTTTTTTTTTTTTTGTGAAGACGGAGG